AAAACAAGTACAACGTTTCTGGACAAATTAAATATTATCGTATTTGTTGTTGTACAAATCCATGCATATACATCTGCCAAAATGTTGTCCACAATTAAGAAAGAAGAATCCATAAAGTCAACTTCAGTTTAATTTTATGAGCCAAGGATTTAATATCTCTTTTCCCATTTAAATCCAAGGTTTCTCCATGAGTGGTTAAGGCTGTAACCTCTCTTTAATCTTTTGATTAGAAAAGTATTAGTAGCCTAGTAGGGCTACTCTAAATCCTCACCGACATTCCACAACAACTGGAACAAAAGGAAAATCAGTTTGACAGTGCGCTCCCACAACACCCAACATTCATACATGCTACGCATATATTAGGGAAATTGCCACAAATACAACATTTAAGCTTCCACATTTCAAAAATATAAGTGCTATATATTTTTCCACTTGAGAAAAGTTCAAAATATATGAGTGCTTCAATTTAGTCATATTTAAGGAAAAATTTGACTAACAAGGTATATAATTCGGCGAATTTTGGAAAAAACGAAGGAGAAGAAGAATTAATTCATCAAAATTTTCCGGAGGCGGCGATTTCCGATGGCGGATTCTGAAGCGGCTAGGTGGGTGTGAGAGGACTGGTTGGGGTAGAGATTGGATATTACTAGGTATAAGTTAAACGAAACGTTAGTCATATACTACGTATTTAGAAAAAGATGAAGTAGTCGCTTTTTTGTACTTCGCAAAACTATATGCTCTGTATCTTTATCGGGTTCAGCTCCTCTCCATTTCTTTCTCTCCATTTCCCCTCCATTTCTTTTTTACTTCCTATCTATCTCTACTTTTTTCTCTATCCTACTCACCAACCTACCTCACCCTTAATTCTCTCCTCTCTATATTTCTCATACTGGAACTCTCCAGTTACTGGAGAGGATCCAAATTCATCTTTATCCTTCTATATGCTCTGTATGTACTAGTTCTTTTTATTAAATTAGGTTAATTATTATTTTTAAAATTTGAAAAATGAGTAAAATCATTACCTTTTACTCCCTCCGTCCCAATTTGTTTTACATAATTTCCTATTTTGGTTGTCCCAAAATGATTTTCCACTTTCAATTTTAGGTATGTAAATAAGAGTAAAGTGACAAATTTACCCTTACTTTTACTTTTTTCTATCAACTTAAATGCATCTACTTTTAGGATGAAGGACAAAAGTGTAAAAAAACAAGCATCATTTATTGTCATTCCTAAATCCTTGTGTCGGTCAAAGTTTGCAATTCAATTCGGGACGGGGAGTATAGAATTATCATAAAGTACTTATGGAGCAAATATTATAGCAAAATTATGACAATAATACATTTACTCCACCATTGGGGCAATTGCATATAGTTATCATTAATTACTAATGACAATTATCATTGTCATTGCCATTGGGGTTATTGCAACTTGATCCCACTAAAAAAATAGAGTAATGTAATCTCTAATGTAACTTTCATTAATATAAAATTATAACAAGCAAGAACTGCAAAATATTAAGGAAACTATTTTATTTAATAATGAGGAATCATTTGAATTTACATCTGAACTACTTCCAATATTTCTAATTTCTTTATTTTTTAGTTCACTATTGAAATATCTTTTTATCCTAAATTGTTAAATATTGAAAGAAAACATTCATAAATAGCATAAGTTTAATAATTTAATCTTTACATTAAAACAAGTTTTCTAATTAATCACAAAACTTGAATTATTTAAACGAGGTAAGGCTCAGATTGGTACTCAAAATTGCAAAAAAGGGGTCAAATAAGTCCTTATATAGGAGACTCTGTCCGGCCGTCGCCATTTAGGGTAGTTCCCTGTGGAGTTTTATGACGAATTTTTTTGAGTAACTTATTCATTAAGTCTAGTTTACTCATACCAAATTTCAGCTAAAACTTCAATCGGGAAGGGATGCAAATGAATTCTTGAAAATAACTGTGCAGTTAAAAGCGCAGTTATCTTTAAGACTTCATTTGAATGTATTCCCGATTGAATTGTTAGCTGAAATTTAGTATGAGTAAACTAGACTTAATGAATAAGATGTTCAAAAAATTTCATCAAAAAATTCTACCGGAAATCACTCCAAATGGTGACGACCGGATAGTAAGGACTTATTTAAACCTTAAATTGCCGAAAGCCCAAAATGGCCCAAGTAAGAAGCGTCCAGCTCCAATTCATGTAGTTAGAGATCGTGAAGAAGTGGACCCACTGCCCAGCCGTGCAACAAGTCAGGTTTAAGCCGTGTTTGGGGTTGCTTAAAAAAAGTGCTTTTCAGCTTTTGGCTTTAAAAAAACTAAAAAGATTGTTTTCAAATGACAGCTTCTGCTTAAATTAATCATTTAAAAGCTAAAAGATGGAAGCAGGTGGAAGGGTGCTTAAACTGCTTTTCACTTTTTCTATTACATAAAAAGTAATTATTTTACCAAACACTACCAACTTTTACCTTTTCAGAATCACTTTATTCTCAAACACTACCAACTTTTACTATTAATCACTTTTCCCAAAATCACTTTAAAAAATCACATTTTTAAAGTTGAAGCAATTGCAAACACTCCCTTAGTTAAACACCGCAGATTATATCGTGCAACCGGCACACCATGAGGATGGGGTGTCCGGTTGCAAAACGACGGAGTATTGAGGCCTGATTTCTTTATTTTTTATCCTTTTGTTTTTAAAAAATGGTAATAACTTTTTTGTTTTTGATCCGATTTTTATAAAATTTATATCAACATTTTTTATTTTTCATGATCTTTCAAATGAGACCAATATTGCTTAGGTAATTTTAAGAAATTATTGAACTATTATATTAATGTGTATTGGATTATAAGGAAAACCAAACTAAATTTAATACAGAAAAATAATTGTGTAAATCACAATTTATCTTAAAATTGTGTATATAAAAAATTTATTGTATTAGGTATTTATACATGTGAGCTGCATATTTTTATATGTGAAGTTACATATTTTTACATGTAAAGTTACATATTTCTACACGCGAGTTACATATATATACACACGAGTTGCATTTGACTTGCCTGAACGCGAGTTACATATATTTACACGTAAAGTTACATATTTTTACACGTAAATTTACATATTTATACACGCGAGTTACATATTTATACACACGAGTTGCATTTGACCTGTCTGAACGCGAGTTACATATTTTTTTAAGTACAGTTACATATTTTTACACGTAGAGTAACATATTTATACACACGAGTTGCATTTGGCCTGACTGGACGTGAGTTACATATTTCTACACGTAAAATTACATATTTTACATAGGTTAATATAATAGTTTGATAATATGTTAAAATTACATAGGCAATATTGTTGAAGCATTTGTCCCACACCGGAAAGCTATAAAACAATTAAACACTATATAAGGCTTTGGGCTACTCCTCCTATCAGGTTGACCTTTTAGGATGGAACCCCGGGTCTTAATTTAACATGGTATCAGAGCCAATTCCGGTTGTGGTTTGACGGCTTGTTTAGCACCCATGATTAAGGGTAGCTTGTTAAGGGTTTGTTTGGCCCGTTTATACACCCCGATATTGTCCAGCCCGGTTCGGGCTGAGGGGGCGTGTTGAAGCATTTGTCCCACACCGGAAAGCTATAAAACAATTAAACACTATATAAGGCTTTGGGCTACTCCTCCTATCAGGTTGACCTTTTAGGATGGAACCCCGGGTCTTAATTTAACAAATATTGGTCTCATTTGAAAGATCATGAAAAATAAAAAATGTTGGTATAAATTTTATAAAAATCGGATCAAAAATAAAAAAGTTATTACCATTTTTTAAAAAAAGAGAAATAAAAAATAAAGATTCGATCTTGCCAAATACGTTGCTTGCCAAAAACCGTATGACGGTATACGGTGCTCACCGTATACCGGTCATACGGTATAACAACTGGTTAAACACCCGACTACATGAATTTTCATTTCATCCGGGAAAAGCCATCATTATCCAAATATAATACGTAGTACTACGTAGAATTTTGTAAATACGGTTTAGTTCATTATCATTCAAGCCGGCATTTTTTACTATTGGGATAAGTAAAGTCTATAGGTCTATCTAGTCATGGACCCAAGCCGGGCCGGTTCTGGACCGGGGCCGGTCGGGCTTTTTTTGGGGAAGGAAGAATCGGAACCGGCCCGGGTAGGCACCGGTTCCGGGCCGGGCCGGGCCAGTTCCGGGCCGGGCCGGTTCATGTTATTAATTTTTAAAATTTCTTTTGCTTTCCCGACCCCCCCCCCCCTTACCCCCCCCACCCACCCCCCCCTAAACACCCAGACCAACCCGGGAGAAACCAAAATAATTGAAAAAACCAAAAAAAAAAAATAGGCCGGGCCGGTTCCGGGCCCAAACCGAGCCAGTTCCACTTTTAGGAGGCCCGAGCCCGGCCCGATTAATTCCGGGCTCAGGTGCCTCGGACCGGTCCTATTATCGGGTACCGAGTCGGGCCGGGCCCAAACAATACCGGTTCCGAGTCGGTTCCGGGCCGGGCGGCCCGACCCGAGTCCATGACTATGTCTATCACTCGAGGGAATAGAACATACTAGGTAATAATTTTTAATCATCCAGCTCGAGCAAGACTCAAACAAATAAGTATAAGAAGTGATCAAATTGTCAGTTGTCTAGTAATTAGGGTCTGTTTGTAACAGCTTCTGCTTTTAAAAAAGTGTTTTTTTAATGAAATGTGGAGAAGTGATTAAATAAAAGTTGATAGTGTTTGAGAAAAAAGTGATTTTGAAAAGTAAAAGTGGGTAATGTTTGGTAAAATAAGTGTTTTTTGTGTAATAGAAAAAGTAAAAGAACTTATGACGCGGAAGCCGAGAAAAATAAAAGTTGTAGTGTTTGGGAAAATAAGTGTTTTTTAAAGTCAAAAGCTGAAAAGTGTTTTTTTAAAAGGAATTGCAAACCACCCTTTAGTCTCCAAACGGTCCAATTTAGGAATAGGACGGCTTTTGGGCCAGTCGAGCCAGGCAATGAGGCAATTGCCTTTGGGGCTGCCAATGGGCCTAAAAGAAAACTACGAAGTAGCGACCGGCATCTGAAGTAGCAGCAACCCGGAATCGGCTTCCCCAAGCACGGCAGCGACCGCGAGCCACCGCTCGAACGCCTCGCCGGAGCCGCTTCCTGACGCCGACTTGGGTGAGTGAATCTCCGACTTCTCTAGTTCTCTCCTTCAGTCCTTCTCTTAGTATCTTACGACGTATTACTCTCTGTCTCTTTCTCTCATTCGAGATTTTGTATTTAACATTTAGAATTTAGACATTAGTCAATTAATAGTGAAATACATAAGTCCAAAGATAAGCCAGAAGGCCTGAAGCCTACAGCAGACGGCAGACAAGCACAGAAGCACTCAAGCAGTAAAGGCAATTGTTTTTTACTATTTACGTTAAATTCCTAAATTGCTAAATGTTAAATATAAGTGATTAATTAACTTAAGTGGTAAAATACATGAAATAATTAATTTGATGGTATTAGTACTAGTCAAGTATTTTTTTTGTTTAATTTGTCATTGTATTTAGAAGTTTTAGATTTTTTTAATTGATTTGTTTGTGATTTTTGTATTATCTATAAATATGCACTATGTAGGTATTATTATCTATAAAGTGATGTTATTACTGATTTGCACTTCAAAAGGCAAGAAGAATAGGCCCATAGGGTGTTGCAGGTACAAATTTGCAGTGTATTTTACATATGTTTGCATTTATTAAAAGCATAGTAAGTATTTTTCTGTCTAGGGCCTCCTAAACGCTCAAGATGCCCCTGAATCTTCCACCTGGTAAGAGTTGGGGTTTCATCATCAAGTTTTTCTGATTCAATACAATATTTGTGGGTTTCCGTTTCAGTGAAAGGTGAAAAAGTTCAATTTTGATTTGATTTCATGCCTTTTCACTGTGGAAGGGTTTAGTCCTGAAATGAGGATGCAGTCCAGCTTTTGTCGGAAACTATTCACTTCTTCTCCGCATTTGACTCCCATTCAACTCCCGTCTCCAAAGTATTCTTCCATAACACCCTATGCCTTTCATTATTTTCTTTTTATATCTATTTTTACTTTTGACAGAGAACCTGCATTTTCCAATGAACTGTTTTGGTATTTTGCTTTCTTGATGATAGTTTTTCCTTATTAAATCTTAGTGAAACACATTTATGGTATGTAAAACCCAATGAAGTGAAGAGCGAGGCACTGTTAGAAAAATACATGGAAATTTTGTCACCAACTGAGAAGGAAAATGTGCTTCGTATGGCCGGAGATGAGCACAAGAAGACTGCACTGCTTTCTCGAACATTAGTCCGTACAACCATTGCCAGATGTAAGTTAATTCCACTGATGTTATTTTATGGGATTCTGCTGTGTATGTGCTGAAGCTGTGATTTTTTTTGTTAATACTGGTTTTGCTTAGATCAAATCAGTTCTCATGTTGATCCGAGATCTCTGAAATTTAGAAAGAACAATTATGGGAAGCCTGAAGTTAGTTCTTTTTTTTGTAGATTTATTTCTTTATTTATGCTCATGTGATATATGGCAACCTATCTAATAATCATGATAGGTAGAATGGCAACACAGTGATCATTGGCAGTCACCCCCATTGCATTTCAATATGTCACATACCAATTCTCTTGTAGCATGTGGTGTAACGGGTGGTTCCCCGGTTAGTTTTCTAACTCTTCATGTACCAGACGTGTATTACTTAGGGTCTGTCTGGTTAAAGAGGTTTTGAACAGAAGACTTTGGAGGGTTTAGTCTTTAATTTAAGCAATAGAATATAAATGGAAAAGGATGAGTGAAATATTTTATGCTTACAATATTATGTTGATATCTCAAATTTATAAAATCTCAAGTCTATATCATAATATAGACTAAGACCTCCAAAGCCTCTCTTGTTCCTCTTCATAACCTTCAATTTGAATAGGGTCTTAGGAGACGTTTCTTCCCATCTTTAAAAAAGGAGTCATGTTTGTAATACCCCATTGGTGTATAAAAAATGAAACTCTTTATTAAGATGGAGTATTACTGATAAATTAATATAATAATAGTATGTCTCAGTAAAAATTTGTGAATTAGCAATGTGCCAATGTTTTCCTTTTGTAGATCGGTATTGATGTAGAAGAAAAACAGAGGGCTGTAAAAAACAATATTTTAAGCTTAGCTCGGAGATACTTATCAGGGCCCGAATTTGAATTTTTAAGTTCAATAAATGATTCTGAAGCTCAACACCAGGAATTTATAAAGCTATGGACCATGAAGGTCAGTTTATGTGAATGCGTGACTGTCACATTTTGCACAAACATTTCTAGTGTGTTATACACTTATATGTAATATTTGCTAGCAGGAAGCATATGTCAAAGCACTGGGTGTAGGCTTCTCAGGATCTCCATTCAAGACATTTACTCTTCGTTTTAGGCCCTCTTCCGAAAGAAGCTCTCTTGTCAATTTGAATTCTGATTACAAGGTATGTAAAAAGCCTATCTGGTGGAGGGTAAATTTGTTGAAATAATTGGTTGAATGTTTTGATTTTTTAGTGTTTGAAAAGGTTGAATAAAGGTTGATTATAAGAAAAACATTTAATTTTTAAAAATATTTAGGGGACACAATACCCAGAGGTTCAGAGAGGGGTAGCAGAAGGTTTGGATGTTTGGCTGTTGGCCTTATTTATCTTAATATAAGCATTTTCCAGTCAAAAAAAAATACCCAAAGGTTCAGTAAAAAAGTAACAATTGCACAATTTTTTGCTATGAATCAATCCGTTAACATAGTGGTAGAAAATATGGCCGATAAGTTGAGAAACCGAAAAGGTGTAGTACCAGTCAAAACCTTTCATTAGAATTAATGACAAGCTTCAAATTATTCTAATGATATTGCAATATATATCAATCTAAGACTCACTTTCCTAAACATTACTTTCTATCCAAATATTCACTTCCAAACAGTTTTCAGTTTCTCTTCCCACACAACATTCTTTTTAGTGGTTTGCAATTATATATCTCCATGCCGACCCCAAAATCTTTTAAGACTAAGGCTTGGATTTTGTTGTTGTTGCAATCATATATCTCCATTTAACTTTTCTGATTCAAAAGCGCAGGCTCTTGAAACAGCAGTAGATCAACAGGACCATCCTCAAAAAATAATGAGTTGCTGGCAGTTTGCACTTATTGAGTTAGATGGTTCCCATTATGCTGCCATTTGCACCAAAAAAGGTTGCGTAACTGAGGTTTAGACACAACTATTATCTGCAAATTTATGAGTATGAGTTTTCTACAATGTTGTAAGCTAATATTATTCTCAATTCTGTAGGTGAAGTTAGTCAATCAATGAAAGTATGGAAGACAATTCCATTTCAGGGAGATGTGTGCGTTTCCGGAACTGATGCAGTCATAAAAGTGAATGACTTGATAGAAACCTTTAGTTATTGGAAGAATTAGATTCAAGAGAACATATTTGATTCTTTCTCAGTGTATAACTTCATGCGTCTTTGCCTCTTGCTAAGGGGATGGCTACTTACCTTCTCTTTGATTGTTTTGTTATAGTAAACATATCATTATTGTATGAAGGTTCTCAGATCAATGTCATGTAAAAAGTAATCACTTTTAGTTTTCAAGTGAAGCAACAGTTCATTAATTTCAATATACTCCCTCTGTCCCGGAAAATTGTTCCCGGATTCCTTTTTGAGCCATCCCAAAAAATTGTTCCACTTTCCTCTTTTGGAAAGATTTTTGTGACTACAATTCATTTACCTTTTTCTTACTCAAGCACAACCATACATTTCTACTTTATTCTCACTTTCTTAAACTTCGTTCCAAGTCAATGCGGGAACAATTTTCCGGGACAGGGAGTAACAATAAAACTTGATGTTCGTTGATGTAGATATTATCTGTGGAATTTTTTAAGTTGCTTTTTGTCACTCCATGTGCATTAGTTACTAGTTCTTAAACTTTTCTCGTTATCCCAATTTACGTCCAAAACTGTTTTTGTGTGTGTATTAAAGTTCAAAGTAAAACTTATGTTTATGTAATGTGTATGTCTGCAAATTAAGCAAAGCGTGTAACTTGTGTATATATGCATATTTGTCAAATCATAAGTATTGGTCGAGTGCTTTTATCCAACAATTTCCTTAGATTGATTTTTCTGGGTGAGCATTCGGTAGGTCTGTTAAATATTTAAATCCCACTTAGAAGTTAGAACCACATATTTATTCAAAAAAAGAGTTAGAACCACATAACCAACCATTAATTCTGGACTACAAGATATATTGATAATTCAATATCATTAGTAGACTTAATAAAATACTAAAAATTTCAGTATGCTAATAATCAATCATCGAAATACTACACGATAACTCCTTATCAGTATCATACACCACACTGTCTCTCTTATAAATTTATAATTTCCCCGTGCACATCACCTGTTATGCAATGGTGTTGTGGCGGGCCGGCAATTCCAGGAGCAATGAAATTAATGAAATGCGGGAAATTTTAATGCTCAACTAGTTGCTAGCCGGTTGTGCTGAATTTAAAGGGATTAGCTTGATTCTTTGCCTCCATATCGAACGGAAAAAAGAACATGAGAAGACGTGGGTAAATTGACATGCCTTTACAAGTTACAACCCTGTCTCATCTTATCTATAATAGACTAATAGTATCATGTTTTAATGTTTCCCTTTTAGGTATCCCAAATTCATAATATCACTTTCTTTTTGGGATTTTTTTATATAGGTGTCAATCTTAGCCTTAAATGTAAGTGTAAATAATGTTTTGTGATAAGAGTTACAGAGTAAACCTTCTACAAAAAACTAATAGGTGAAATGTGTTTAACTTTTTAAAATTTTTGTGCCCAAAAAGATTTAAGATGACGGCAGTATTGGTTACCAGCCTAAACTAATGTTTTCCTTCAGTTTGGGTCTTGGCTTTATCAGTTATTTACTCACTCCTACCCCTGTTTAAGGTGGCAGTACTACTTGGGCATAATTAACACGCAATTGAATACTTCAAAAGAATATTTACTTGCTAGAAATGTTATCAGAACCTGTGTGCCAGAACTAAAATTGGCTTACATTCCTGAGTATCCAAGTTACTAGAAAGTGGGCAAATATGAAAGTATATCACAAAGACTGGTTGCTCATATTTATATCCTATTTCAGAACTTTCCGGCAAATAATTTTACTGACCCTCGTACACAGGATGAGCCATGGAATGATACCAACCTACAATCACAACATATGTTTATCACTTTATCAACAACAGCAAAAAAGATCTGAATAGAGCAAAAATAGACAAGCAGGAGACAAATGGCCAACCATGCTCATTGGTTTTGGTAATATATTTGTACTTATCTTTGGGGGGAAATGACAGACTTTTTTGGGGGAAATATATTTATCAAGTAAAATTGGTTTTGGTATATGCAAGTACAATTCCAGGTTTGGACTTGGAACTCATTACTAAATATATGTTTTCCCCAATATATTTAGTAAAATTGGAATTGTACTTGATAAACAAACTCATTGGCTTTGGGGGAAAATATATTTATACTTATCTTTTTTAAATAATTTGAGTAAAATAATAAGGCTAATTAAGATCAATCCACAGGTTTGGTCAAAACTACTTGTGTACCCTATGTTTTAAAAAATCATCTATTTATCCCTTATGTTCTATCAAAATAATCACTACCTCCAAAGTATAGGTAGAAACAGTATTCTAAAGCTAACAAAATAATGTTAATGATCAATAAGTTATCCTCGATATAATTTTTGTGATGGTTCTAATCATCGGCACAAATGATGGAAATATTAAGAATGTAATATAATGATATATGTTGCTACTGTCATGATAAGATACTCAGCTGATATCTAGTTGACCTTACAATTTAGTACGGCGTACTACGTATGTTTACCAGGCTAGGTCATTGAAATGCATGTAAGACGAATAAATTACACAGTTTATTTTAGTATTTCCTCTCTAATAAATGTTTACCTGTTCAATTAAACAAAAGTCTATGACTAGTAAATAACACAACATAATATATATGCATCATTTCATTTTCATTTACCCCAGTGCCGCAAAGGCTCCCACCTACGGTGGAGTAAGGGGGGTCAGATGTACGCAGTCTTACCCCTATACTAAAGCACAGAGAGACTGTTTCCGGATGACCCATAGTGAAAATCGCAACCAAAATTGCATGGACTGACTGCTGCTTCATAACAAAGAAGCGCAGACAGTTTAGTGAGCCATTTTGCTTTATTCCATCATATTCTCAAGCCAAAAAATAATGAATCTTTGGCTCCATTTCAAATGATGGAAAACATAATATCTAGTAGTAAAACATAATATCAATGTAATTGTCTATAATGTATAACTAGAAGATCAAAAACCATTTTCGTAATAAGCACAATAAAAATATCAATCAATTCTATATCATGTAATCGTAATTAAGTCACAACAGATGTAATTTGTATGTACTCAGTACTCACGCCATCCCACTATCTTTAGATTAGAACATAAGAATCTGGAACGCATATTAAGTATTGTGGGATTGTGTTGTTCGTCGGGGGCGTAGCTCACCTGGTGGGAAGGGGCATAACACTTGTTCACAAGGGAGAGGGGTCCCCGGTTTAATTCCAAACAGTGCCTCGGGCTGTAACCTCACTCTCTTTCCCCCGTGGGTGATCAAACTCAATTTACATCATCTCAAATAACTGTCCGTCCGGTTCTAGAGTGTCATCTTTTTTAGGATTGTGTTGTTTATATTGAATTTACTAAGTATGAATGATTTGGAACAATACAATTTTTATTAGTGTGTTACCATATAAAGTATGAGGAAAACTTATTAGGACGGACAAAATAATGAGACAAAAAATAGTGGGATGGACAGAGTAATTTATAGATAATAAAAAATCTTGACAATGATATCTTTTTATTATGTTTCCAACATCTGCACAAATATATATAGGATATGGTTATGGTAAGAACGACTCTTCCCGTGGAAAATGAGAACAAACCAAAACGATGCACATTTTGGTTCACAAATCACAACGGTGCACATTGATGATTAAGATAATGCACTGTTCAAATTGGCAATTTTTTTAATTTATTTACAAAAATGCCACCACATTTTCTGATTTATGGCAGTGCACATTTCCGTTTCACATAATGCACAACTCTCATATTTAACACACCAGATTCATTCTCATTTCTCTCCTTACATTATGTTCTCATTTTTATCCAAATTCTATTTATGCGTGAACATATGTGTTTGTATAAATATAAAATCATTATTGGCATTTTTGAGTTTCTAATGATGATTTCATTTTCTTTAAAAACAAACTAATTAGACGTAGCCGACAAATGGATTTGAAACATATTGTGGGGATAATTATAATTTGATTTTTTAACTTAATTGATTTTAAAACACATGGGGGAAATGTTATTCTAGTAAAACTGGGGTAGTAGTAACTAGCCCAAAATAATATCCAAATCTTTGGTGAGAATTATCACTCAATTGAGCAACCTTACCCAAAAAACTTCTCTCATCCACAAATTATTGTTGTATCTTCAATCAGGGTCGCTCTATTCAAAATTCATTAATATTAAAAATGGTTCAGTTGTCAACGTTAGTTGAGTAAGACTCTAGGACCATGTTTCATAAGCGCAATTATAGATGAAAAGGTTTGTTAACAGTTGTAGCTAAAATCCCTGAGGTTATCTAACTATTGAACTATAAAAAAAAGTTAATTTCCCTTGGTAAACTGAAAGTATCTAAAAGGATATTTTAAAATAACATTTCCAGACATTTTGGTAAAAAAAACAAGTTATGCATTAAAGTCCTTATCAGCAAAATAAGTCATTTCTTGATCATAACAAATGGATTGTTGATACAAAGAAATAAGAAGACACCAAAGAGGCGTAGAATTGGGTAAGCACATTTGGCTCCTATTTGGGGTTGAGGAAAAAATACAAAACCATGCATCAATTTGATCAAATGTGATGTTGAAACGCTGAAATTGAAAAACACAGTAACCAAAAGACTAAAACTAGAATTAAGTAATTAACCCTTTGGTCATTCCTAAGTTAGAACTACAAACCTCACAAAATGAAATTATATCTATAGGCTGATGGCGGGTCTTCCAATTTGGCTTTTAAAAAATGCAAGTTCTATGGCGGATCTTCCAAATCTGTCACAAGCCATTTAGGCCAACGACAATAAAGCATTAGAAAGTGTAAACAGCTTAAAAGATTGCTACAATGGGTATTCGATAGCTCATAGCTCATTATAAGCTAGATAGCCAATTAGCCAGACCAAGTAGTTAATGAAGCTGCTGAAACATCTCCCACTTAATAGGAAGCCTGAGGGCACCAGTCCATATCTGACAAACTAATCTTACTGTTATGAAAATCCATGAACCCGTATTAAATTAACGCCTAAGCACTGTCTTTCTTTGGCCACCTAATCTTTTTTCCCTTCTTAGCCCCACCTAGTTGCACTTAGGTCTACCTAACCTCAATTAGCACTTTTTACAGCTTTATATAAACTTGAATCCCAATTGAATTATTGAACTATACAAAAAGAGAAAGACTATACAAAAGAAACAATAAGTTAACAATATTTACCATGACATTGTCATTTACAAAATCTCCTGCTCGCCATGATAGCATTTTACCTGCCAAAAGATAACAATTGCATAAAGGATTAACATGAGGTGACCAACCCTGATATTGTGATTCAATAAATTCCAAATGCCGTTGTTATGAGCTAAATAGTAACCATACCCCACTTCTTTTATTTGGGGGTGAGGGGTGAGAGGACAGAGTGACAGATGTACTGTAATAAACAAGCAAAGCATCCAATGCTTGTTGCAAATAAATGAAAGGAAAGGGAATTACCAAAAGGTTGTACCAGCTGCTTAGATACAGAAGCCACAGGCATACGCCAAAACCAAATAAGGAGCATAGAGTACGTGAAGATCTGAAAAGGGTACCTGGACATCTTTTTAGCACATATATTAAGCAATAATAACCAACAATGACACAAGCATGAAGTTTTCAAAGCATGACTTCATGCATTACCTTTAAAACTAATAGGAACTTTGTGTACATATCGTAGGACATTTTTATCTCCTCGCTATGGATCCTTTGATCTGCATGATACTTGGAGAAACCATTATAAAAAACAATAAAAGAATCCACAGTAGTATATATACACTACAGAGGTGCACAGATAGCTTCTGAGGATAGATCCTCCAAACAGTACAACAACAACATCTAAACCTTAGTCTCAAAAGAGTTCAGGGTTAGCTAACATGAATCGACATATGAAATCGAAGCTAAAAAGATAAAAGGACACGATAAGATAAAAGAAAGATAATAAAGGATAAAAAAGATGATTAAGACAAAGATAAAAAAGATTACACAAAGGAGATAAGAAACATTTAAAAATAAATAAATAAATAAATAAATAAATAAATGAGATCAATCCTCCACGCGAACATTCTCTTTCCGCTTCGCTCTCTTCCAAAGTTATACTAGCATCCAACACACACAAATTTGTAACATACAGGTTCTACATAACATCACTTGTAAGTAAAAGAAGAAAAAGTTCACAAATGAGAAATGAGCACTCCAAGCTCCAAATTGCTTGCCATTGCCCAACTTATTTTTGAGCTTAACTTATATTTGACACAGTTTCTATGAAAACCATCATGTTGAATCTTGTATCTCCTGGAATCTTTGTAGTAGAAAAGAAAAACAAAAATCCCTTATTTAGCACACAAAAGTAAAAGTTTACTAATAAAGCATACTTTTTGCAAGTTCCTTCTCCTTAGTTGCAACAGTCCTTTTCAGTTTTGCAGCTTGGGCAAAGGTTGATGGCCTGATCGAGAGGAAAACATGTGACATTTTCTAGACTATACAAGTATATAACCTCTATAATGTGTATTTATTATTTCAATTTCAGAATACAAACTCTCTTCAGAAATTAATTTGGTGAAAATTTAAGAAAAGAAAAAGTTGAAATAGCTGAATAATAACGATAAATATTAAAAGAGGTGCTTATTTCATTCCATGACTTATGGTGCTTCCCCACAGAAACAAATTTATTGGAGACCTCCTGGAAAAAAGTAAAACAGATGTGCACTACCATCCACATAGAGTCCACTTGGCATTTGCTTCATAAATTTAGATAGTTCTTTAGATAGTTCTTTAGATAGTACTTTCTTGGACTTATGGTTACATTTGGTATTTCTGCGACCATACTGTTTCTATGGGGATTAATAGAATTAACATGTACCGAACAAAGGATCAACAGAATGATGAAATATAAAATGTGTTTCCTAACTTCACTATCCTCAGTAGACTGAACATGACTTCACTCAATTGTTCAAATTCACACTGTTTATGGAGATCCGTGTTTATCACACACACACACACAAAAACCACCATTCTTTCACCTTAGCGACTGCCCTCAAATATCATAAAAATATGGGTCTGCCAGGAACATACATTATTGCCTTCATTTTAAACTTTCTGTTTTTATCTATAAAATGCATATCCCAGGAACTCAATCTTTAATTCCTTATAACAGAACGCATTTAATAACGGGGGCATGCCACATATTTCCAAAACAGTATAAACTGGATGTATCAAAGAAGAGCCAGATTCACTCACTGTGATAAGGCATTGGCCTCCTGCATGAGCTGCTTAATTTCTGCTTTCAGCTTCGCATCCTTATCAGATATGGATGTTTTCTACAAATCATTTAACCAAAAAATTAACTTAGCCTTCGATCCCAATTAGTTGAATCTGACCACCGCAATGGCACAATATCTTTTTGTTATTTTAAACTTTCAGTTGCATAATGTTGGAATTGCTTGATACGTTTACCTACTGATTAATGGTACAGTATCAAACAATAATATTTCTTCCTAAATGCAAAACGCCTAATCATAGAAGAAATAGGGGAATTTTTACCGTCTTTTGCAGCTCGACGTATCGGGACAGGAATTGAAAAACCCCAACAACGAAGAATACCAATGGAGCGGCTATAGATTTTGCATCTTTTACCAGAGCCTCATCCATTCTGCGTTTGATTCTGGCGTTCGAGCTGGCCCAGCTAGCTTTACTTCTACGGAGTATTCCTTTATCGCACTTCGATAGTTTTTTGGAACAATATTCATTATTTATGAGTCTCTGATCTGTTTGCAACAGCTTCTGTTTTTTAAAAAGTGTTTTTTTTTAATGAAATGGGGAGAAGTAATTAAATAAAAGTTGATAGTGTTTGAAAAAAAGTGATTTTGAAAAGTAAAAGTGGGTAGTGTTTGGTAAAATAAGTGTTTTTTGTGTAATAGAAAAAGTAAAAGAACTTTTGACGCGGAAGCCGAGAAAAATAAAAGTTGTAGTGTTTGGGAAAATAAGTGCTTTTTTAAAGCCAAAAACTGAGAAGTGCTTTTTTAAAAGGAGTTGCAAACCAACCCTTAATTGGCATAAGATTTCTCTTCTCTTTGGGAATGACATCAAACCACCGGTGATCACATCAAATCACCAGGTACTTGGCAGTCCGGTTCATGTCAATGTTTCGGAAAAAATCTTGAAATGAGAGTAAAAATATTTGAATTTCAAAATAAAACTATTGTGTTTTATTTTCCAAATAGAAATAATTACTGTCAATTTTAAAAAATATTGTCATATTTAAAATTTGGTATTACTAAAACATGACAGTAATTACTTATATTTAAGAAATAGAAATAGGACAGTCCTATTTTGGAATACAACAGTTTTTACTTCTATTTAGGTCAGTTCCATAACATTTGTACTTAACAGATAATTCTTGATTTCGCGTGTTGGATTGCGCAAAAAGGAAAATAAGTAATATTGAAGTTATTTTTCTAGTTAAAAAGGTCGAAGTTGCTTTACATTACCTCCGTCCCTGAAACAACTTCTCACGTTCCTTATTTGGATGTCCTTAATTTAACTTCTCATTTCCTTAAATGGAAAAGTTATCTACATAAAAATAGTGTCGAACAGTGCAAACAGTGTCAAACAGTGTTAACACGGTAAAATTTACCCACCGATAAGTTTATTTTCTTAATATGTGTGTAGGTCAAATCGGGAAGTTGTTTCGGGGTCGGAGGGAGTATAATCTTTTTTTACTATTATCAACAAAATATGTTTTGAATATGATTTCTTCATAATTCATTGAATGTAGTCAATTTAGACATTTTAGCTAAATTCATACATTTTAGCTAAATTCATCATTTTTCGGCAAATTAAACCGATTCCATCAATTTTGAGTATTATCATTTAAGCTCTAAAGGTTAGTAGCATTTGAGAAAAAATATTTTTAAAAAACTAAAAGTTGATCATGTATGGCGAAAATGGAGTAAGGGAATGGAAATGAACACATGTTTAATGAAAATCAATATGCCCTCTTATGATAAGTTCTTTTGTTTCCAAGGAGTAAACGTATTTCCAATTGAGTACAATATTGATACCTATTTATCTCTTTGTAAAGATTCACTTCCAAATACTTAATTGGCAATGAAGACCTATTCATTCCGAGAAAATTCTGACTGATGTTTTCTTTGCCTATAGATGCTTTGCCACAAACAAAGGAGCTATTATCTAGATTATTAACTCTTGACATGAAGCATTATAGTAAGCTTGAATGAATCTGTTAAAATTTAATAAAGATCTAGAATCCCTCATTAGTGAAGATTAGTAGATCATCTGTAAAGCCTAAATGTGAGACAAGGCAAACATTAGTTCCCATCAAATATGATTTGATGGAATCACGCACCAAATGTCACTTCAAACCTCTGGAAAAAGCTGCAGAAGATAAAATAAATAAAAATGGAGATAATTGATCCCCTTGATTTACCCCCTCTTTAGGTTTGATGTATCCACGAGGAATATCATTAATGACCACAAATAGAAAGTTTGCTTGCTGGTTGTTTATAATCAACTGAACAAATTGAATAACAAAGCCAAATTTGATTATAATGTCAAAGGTCTTAGTCATGTCTAGTTAGATCATCACATTAGATCATGTCACCTCCTTATCAATAGAGTGATCCATCTCTTGGGCAATCCCAATCTGATCAATAATTTCTCTATTAGGCATGAAACTAGCCCGTTTTGGAGATATAAGTCTAGGAAGAATCGTTATAAGCCTTGAACACAACACTCTATATCTATCTTTGCTAATGAAATTAGAAAGACAGATGGGTCTGAAACATGAGAAGGATTGATGGTTGTCAGATTTAGAGCATCCACCATGCAATACTTTCTAGTCTAAATAAAATGTGCCAAATGTCAAGTAATTAATTGCCTTTCTAAATCATGTCTACGAAGTGAACTAGGTGGACATTGAAACATGAAAAAATCGTCCAATGCATAAAGTCTCAAACCCAATAGAAGTGTACTGTGTACATGTAGAATTTGTTTTCAGTTTTCAACCCCAGATCCGTGTCACTACAACCGTTCTCCATAGGAAGTAAATTAATTGTGTAGTTAGTGGGTCATTGAAATTATATGTGAATACGTAGTACTGTTTGCCTTTGTCAGCAAGTTTTGAACGATGTTCAAGTTGAGAAAGTCTCCTTGACAGTGTTCGTTTTTTTTTTTTGCCAAATAAGCACCACTTAATCAAAGACGATTAGCATTGGAGGGAGGGAAAAAAAATGAATGTCTAATTTAATGATGTGGCACATTTTATCTACACTAGACTTGAATGCATTGGGGATGCTCTTATGTATGAGCTTTACTAGTAAATTGTGGAATGGGGACTTCTAAGAAAAGTTCTTGAACTACTCTAATCACATCCATACCCATAATATTGCATTATTTCTTGAAAGCTTTCCATTAAAACCATCAGGTCCAAGAGCACTGTTTTTATTAAGATTCCATACGACTTTTTAAATTTCCTCCTCCCCTGGAATACTTGACAACATATTGTTATATTATGGATTAACTAATGAAGGAATAAATTGCAGGATCTAAGTGGCATCAACATTATTTTTGATGGAGTAAAATTTGGAAAAGAAATCCACCGCTTCTTGGCCAATACTAGGTAAATCGGTCACCTCCTGCCTTGTTTAGTTAAGAATAGAAGAAATTTGTTGTTTTCTATTCCTAACATTTACAAAGGAATGAAAGAAGTGTGAATTGGAATCACCATCCTTAAGCAATTGAATATGACCTTTTTATTTTCAAAATGCCCCTTCCAAATTGTATTTTGACATTAGGTAAAGCCCTTTTTAAAGCATCCTAATGTTTTTATTAATGAAATAAAAGAACAAAGCAACAATAGAAAACTGACAGAGTCTGAGAATAAAACTAAAATGAAATAAATAGAGCTACCAACTCGCATAGTGAGTCTTCACATTTCCCGGCGAGCCTCTTATCCGGAGCTCACGCCAATCTCGTTTTCTTTTCAGTGATATCCATCTCCATCATTCTATTTGCTTCTATGGTCATCTCCTCTTCCATCCTACACCGCTTTGGTTCACCCACCAATGTGTATTCTTCCTGCTTCACAGTGTCAATATCTCCACATGAATAAATAATAGAACTAACACCCATTAAGGTCTCCACAATGTGGGCGTCGCCATGCCAGCACCAATGTTGTTTCCATTCATATTTCCTTTCTCAAGAAATAGCCACCTATTCCCCCACCACCATCATTGTGACTGTCGTTTGTTCTCATTCGCTCCCTGAATTCCTTAGTTTGTTTAGTTTGGTTGTTTGGGCACCTGAGGCCATTCTCTGTTTACATGGCCAATAATGTCACAAGCAAAGCAAAATTTGGGTAGCTTTTCCTACCTGAAATCCACCCACAAGCTGTCCTCGTTAACTTTCTGAACCTTCATATTTTTCCTAAAAGGCTTTCATATGTCTAAGCAAACCCCGATTTTTAAGTAAGCCCTCCATTGCCCCTCAAACTTATTTTCGTCAAGCTTAACGATCCTTCCTAAATAGTTCCTAGTAATTTTTGTAACCTTTACGATCAAATAAACCGCCTAGCAGATTATAAACTTAAATTCACAATTTCGAGAACTATACAGGCACTTGTAAAGGTGAGGAATCAACTTTAAATCTCTTCAAAACCACAAGAATCTTATCATACAGTCATAAACCATACTCAATGACACGCTTCAAATTCATTCAACGATAAAGAAAAAAAGACACCTCTTATCACTGATTTCTTTGATGAGAACTCTCTAAATAGGTCTCCAAATAGGGTCATAACATATCGGAACAACTTAAATTTCCTCTTGTTCATTGCCTTCACCCACATCCGTCATGAGTCGTTAGGTTCTCCGTATGCACACAATTATCCATTATCGTGACAAATGTAGCATTATGATAAATATCTTGATTTGTATCTGAGACCCATAAATGATAGATGTTCCATCTATGACAAATGAGCCCCTTCCTCGCTCTCTGGGGCATGGTTGATGAATTCATTTAAGTATGAATAGGCTTTCTCATCAAAGACATGTTCATTACCTGGGCCAAATTGGTATTAAAAAAAAGAGGGCGGTTTACCAGATCGGTGAAAAAAATCCACTTGAGACGTATTGGCAAAAAAAGTCCTAATGAAAAATTAGTCAGTTTTTTGTAAATTCTTGACATTTTATATCCTAAGTATTATGAAATAGACATTTTTCAGTCCTTATACTTTGATCTCATCATAAATAATGGAGGGCTAAAAATGTCAACAGGCATGTTTGATCATATCAGTTGTCAGCTAGCTAATAATCGATTGAATCAACAGATTTTGCTAGAGGATTCCGTTAGCTTTTTTAACTAACCGCTTTCATTAAAAGTTGAAATAAATTGTTAGTAAATTAATTGTTTGTGATTAAATGATAAGACATAAAATGCCCGTTAAAGATATGAATTTAAAAGTATACATATTTAACTGAATTTTATTTTATTTTTAATAGGTTTTGAAAAAAGTTTTAAAAAATATATTTACCTTTATTTAAAAAAAAATGGTGTAGATTAAAAAAAAGGACTAATATATAGTCATATGGAGTAAAGGTTTGGGGTATATTTTTTAAATGAAGTAGATTTGAAAGAAAACAAATAAATAGTTGTGTCCCTTGTCAATGATACAACCGAACCAATCCAAAAAATGGTATCATA